AGGTCGGCATCCGCTAGATCCACCTTGCAAGGTGCTTCAATTGAAGCAGGGCAAAATCGGTTTGAGTTGGCCGGTGGCTTAGCATGCATCGATTGGGACCGCGGGGCACATTCACGCCCACCGGTATGAGCAGACAACTCGAGGCGGTTATTGGTGGTACCCAATTTCCCTCTAGCCTCGTTGCGCTAATGCCCCAAAGCTTGACTATCAAAGGATTGAGACTTCCGCAAACGCTCTGAGCAATCAGTGTTCTCTCACCCAAAGAGTGAAGTGCAGTTACGGAAACTCAATTCACGAAACTGAAATCCACCAGCTAGAGGAACGTGTACCCGAGCAATCACCGTGTCCGGGCTTGTTGTTTACGCTGTAAACACAGATCGTATTTACGTTTTTACGCATGAAAGAATTTTTTACGTGTTTGCCCGTAAAAGCGCGTAAGATACGTAAATACAGCCTCTTGTACGTAAGAACAATACATACAGCCATCGGGTGTCCGGGGAGTAGCAGCCAGACGCACTGTAATGAGCAGAAAATGAACTTTTGTTCCACGCCCTTGTGGCCCTTACCGAGTGCGAATTCGACGCTGTGTTGTGGGTGCTCGACGACGTGGAGGACTGATCATTGTGCGCGATTTTGCTCGTGATACCTCGGTGTCACAACGAGCCGCAAAAACGTAAATACAGCCGTAAAAATAGCCCCTCTTGCAAATTTACGTTTTTGCGCGTAAAAACGTAAAAGAAAAAACGTAAACGCAAACATAAATAAAAGCGTGACCGTGTCTTCAACCTGCGGCTTTTGCAACTGGACGACCCCTGTATTCTTCCTAAGACGATGGCTGCCCAAGCCTTGCATTATACCATGGGGACAGTTTGCTGCTGAGGTCCAGCAGGCACAGGCGACAATCTGTTTCTCGCCTGTTGCTCAATTCCTGCACCTACGATACACTGTTCCAGGGCGCCGGCGGCCGCAAACACGGGCGACATGGGTGCATGACTCAGCCAGGGACGTGGGTACATGACTCGCGGATCCGTAACTCAGTTGCTGACTGCTTAACTAGCCACGGTGTCCGAGGCAGCAAATGCTTGCGCATGATTAGCTTTTCGCGTAGCCAGCGGCGCCCCTGTAGCGCCTACATCCTTGCTTTTGTTCAGACGCCGGCCTGCTCAATGGCGCCTGGTCGTCACCGCAGATGTTTTCTGCAGCAGGATGCAACCGCCGGAATGGCCACTGCGCGCCCTTTCTTCGTGCGCCGTGTGTCGCTTTTGGGAGGGCGGGCAATCACCGGGAAAGTAGGCACGCACCGCGGAAGATCTGGCTCCTCCGTGGCATCATGTCATCGCCTGGGTTAACCCAAGGGCCGACTGGTCGATGTCAAATCAGTGCTGCATCGGAGCAGCTACAGGTGTTGCACTTTGGGCTTGCTAACGCAGTAGGTTTTAGTCTTTGTGTGGCCAAAACCAGAAACAACGGCGAGAAAGAACTGCAGCCTCAGGCAGATGGCTACGGTGTGTATAATTATACACACTGTAGCCATCTGCCTGAGGCTGCAGTTCTTGCCGTTGTTTCTGGTTTTTCTGGCAATGCCCAGGTCGCTGGTGCATGTCGCATTGTTCTGCAACCTCATTTGCTGTTTTTTTTTGCTCAATGCCGCCCTTGCTTGACTGTGTGCAAACACATTCAGAACTTCTGGCTGGCCGTATCCTGCGCCAACACACTCGTTCCTAAACTCAGATGTGGTGAAGGGTCAAAAGGCTGGGCAATTGGCTGTGCCGCAAGGCTCCAGCGCAATACAACGCTCATGTAACAGCAACGTTGCCAGTGTCAGCAGCTGGATTCCGATATCGACTGTTGTCTCAAACTCCCTGGTGTTAGCGGCGCCTGGACCTTATCGGCGCCACTGGCGACCACCAGAACATAAAGCCCCAACCCACGCCCACCTGCTGAGTCACCCTCTGTCGCTGCCCGAGCAGGTTGCAACCTCGCTCGCGGTTGCTCTTATCCGTTCCACGGTGGTATGTTTTCAGCGCACGTCAAGTAGTCAGTGAGAGTCGACTCTGCTATTATGTGAAGAGAGAGGCGCAGCATGAAGATGGGCTGTGCTTGTGCAGCGACGCACCTGTTTGTTCGCCGTCGTGCTATTGATTTTTGCGAAGGGAAACCGGTGGGCACCCTGCAGCCTCGCCAGTGTCATGGAGTTGGCCTATATGAGAAGCGGGCCCCCGCCATCCCTGCACGATCCCTGTGAATTTCACTGCTGTGGACGGCACTAATTGCAGCAAGACCAACCCTGGGGCCGCCGACAGTCGGTGTGTCCACTGTGCCTTGGAAATTGCTGTACTTTGCAGTGGTAGTGCGCGCCAAACGAAGTTTGGCACCATTGCTGATTAGAGAACTCCTGTTGGATCCCTCCAATCTACTCGGTATCAAACGCCGCAGCCAAATGAGGGACAAATGACTGTCAAGTTTATTGTCGCACCAAATCTGCCCCATATTTTTTGCTGTCGAAGGCCCGTTCGGATGCGATGGCAACTTCCCTAGAGATGGCGCACAGATCTCTGCGACGATGCTGAGCGCTCTGTTGCCGCGCTCCGGCATCTGGGCCGTGTTTGGACCTTGTTTGCGTAAGGAATCGCACACCTGGGGCGCCTTGTGCTTTTCAAGAGTCGCTTCTTGTTGCATGCGCGCACTTCCAGTGTGTGTGTGTGTGTGTGTGTGTGTGTGTGTTCATTTTTTTGTCAGCTGCACAGCTGACAGCATGTTCGGCCGAGGGAATATAAAGACTTGCATTTCCTGGGCTGCGGTTCGCCTTGTCGGTGGTCCACCACGTGAATAGATCTATTCACTCAGCTCACTCAGCTCCAGATCTGGAGCTCTAGAGCTCGCGACTTCACTCTGTGGTCCATCTAAACATGAAGTCATATGACTCACATGACTTCATGACTTCTGTCTACATGCATGTAGACAGGCTGCACAAGAAATTCTCAGGCTGTGCATATCTCCTGGGCCACTTGCGGAAGCAGAACAGCTGCTGCTTAGCCTTGAGGAGTAGCGCACAACAAAGTACCTGTTGTTCAGCTTAAGAAGCAGCTGCTGGAAGAGAAAGAAATTGCTACAGTAGTACACGGAAGCGGAACTTCGTTGTGTGGCATGCGTGTCGCAGCCAGTGAGAGATCCCCCTGTGCTGGTTCAGGGTTTCTCCACGCCACCCATGACTGGCAGATCTCCAGCAGTTGGGACTGCTCCCAGGGCCCCTCCGTGGAAAGCACCGGTAGAAAACAGCCTGTTTGCGATGCCAGCTGCGATGCCATTTTGACACAAATTGATACCATCACAGTGAGTGTGATGGCATGAAAGCGTCTGTGATGGCATCAATTTGTGTCAAAATGGCATCGCAGTTGGCATCGCGAATAGGCTGTTTTCTACTGGTGAAGTGTTGCACACATCGCACCATGCACAGTGCGCTGTGTCTTCAAGTGGCCGCCATTCTTGTGTGGACCTCGATACGTGCGGGATTGCGTAGTTGCTGCATGTTTCTTCCACGATTGTCCGCTTCTTCACAATCGCAGCAAGAATTGGGAGCACGCGTTTGGTTATCTATCAGCCGGACAACCTGAACGTGTTTACATAGTTGTGGTTCAAGCTTGCGAATCGGATATCGGTGGCTATTTTTTGTTTTATATGTGAACCAGCTCATACTGAGTTATGAGCGTGAATCCCGTCAGTGAGGAAAAAGCGCTGGAACGCGACCGTGCACTATTATTGAAATAGCAGATAGTTTTAAAGGATGGCACTGACAGGGCACCGATAACCTATAAGCGATTTGCTTCAGCATTATGCAGTTGTTCACTCATTGCCATTCTAGTTGTTGTACTGTTTGCATGCTTCCTGTACCATATTTCTCCACCCCGAATTGATTCTTCTCGGCAACAGATGTGTGTTTTTGCATCCGGAGGGCGTCGCTCGTTTTGAAAGCAAACACATGGCGCATATTGATATCCTGAATTCCTTGAGGGTGCCTTGTATGCACAGGGAGGAAGGCCCATGTCCGAGGACCTCACTTTTTGGAAACGAAGCTTCGTTTCCCCCTTAAGGGGAGCCATTCTCAAAGGGATGGGATCCTATGTCGAAATTAATTAGGTTCGTTATAACGGTGGCTTACGGTGGCTGAGAGAAACGACAGAAAGGCGTGAAACAGCATCAACCACACAGCTCCATGTTGGCTCAGACGCAGCACTCGCAAACGCATTCAACAGCGTAGCGTTTCTCACAGAACGTCTGGCCGTTCCCGACGCAGGTAGCTCTGAAGGCCCTCGAGATGGACGGCCTTTTCCACTGGCAGGACAGGCACAGCGTCAGGCAGGTCCCCTGGCATCGAGTCGCATGTTGCACGAGCGCGACTTGCGGGACGATGTACCGCGCCGCGGGGCCCCGCGTCAAACTTCACATATACGAAAGATGCACCTTTGTTCGCGTCGCTTTCGGCCCACATCCCCCACCAAGCCCCCCACACATGCGGGGCCATGTGGACAGCGCCGATCCGCGCATCGAAAAGAATCCTTACCAATCCACGCCCTTCGTTGCGCTCCGCCCCCGTGTGCTGCACGGCCATGCCGCCGTCTTCCCAAGCACTGCGCCTCCCATAATTGCGGCCGTGTGTTGTAGCACACTCATCGATCGACGCGCGGTACACGCGGACAGTAAACGCACAGTAGCCCCCCGGCGCCCTACCAGTCGGTCGACCTCCCCCCTGGCCGGAACCGTCTGAGCCCTCGGGGCATGCGCCCCTGCCCGCCGTCCAAGGATGCCGAAACCGTACATGAAGCGTCGCGCGCCCGTGCTTTCGTGTCACCCGCCTGCCGACCGCGACAAGCCGCCTCTCGGACGTCAGGGCCTGCAGCCATGGCGCCACCGCCACCCAGGGAGATATTCGAGGGCCAGGCGAGTCCCCGGCCCCCCACCCCACCCCCCGCGCCTCCCCTTTCAATCCACATTCATCCAAGATGGGTCAGTCTCGAAACGCCTTCCCGTTGATTGTATCCCAGTACGCGCTCGTCGAGGAGCGCGGGAAGATCGGCGGGGGGGCGTACGGGGAGGTGTTCCTGTACCGGGACACGGCCACCGGAGAGCTGGTGGCGGTGAAGCGGTGCCGCATAGCGCCGGATGAGGCGCCCGGGGAGGTTTGGGCGGAGCGCATGGCGACCTGCGCCATCCGGGAGGCGTCCGTGCTGGAGGAGCTGCAGCGATCGGGGGGCCACGAGAACATCATCAGGTGGGGGGCCGGGGAGGGAGCTCAGTGTCGCGTTGAGATTTCACGTGGGCTCAGCGGCAACGCGCGAGGCGCGGGTTGACACGGCTACAGAGCGTGGGCAAGTGGGTTGCGCGTTTGTAGTCGTGCGTGTGAGGGCGCTGCGCCGGTTGCTCAGGAGCGCCGGGCGCGATTCGAGGATGCGCGCCTGCAGAATGCCATTCTCAGGGCGGCGCGGTCCGGGCTTGAGGCGGCCGTTCGGAACCATCGGGCGCGCAGTTTGCACCTGCAGGGAGGCTCTGGAAGAGGCAGCGCGATGGAACGGGGATCAGGTGGCTGGGCGTGGGTGGAGGCTTGGCTCGCAGGTCCGTCGGCTCGTGCGTTTTCGTGCTCGCGTTTGTGTGCGAGGAGACGTCCGAGGCGCCGCTCTTGTCGGATGACCACCGCCCTGGCCTGCTTCGCTCATCCCATGGAAGTCCACGTGATCGTGAGGCCGGACGTCGAACAGAACACTGGGCATGCATTCCGGGGTGCTGATGTGGTGTGTCCCGCCGGGTGGAGTCAGTTCCGTTGCGGTGCTTGCGGATAGGGTGGGGTAGGAAGGACGTTGGGACGTCCGTGTGAAACGGACATGGGGATCACCGCGCCGGGCGCTCCGCGTGGCCACGCGTGCGCATGGCGCCGGTTGTGATTGCGCTGACGAGCTTGGACACCTTTGTCTTTTGGACATCTGCTGAGCCGCGCAAGGGCTTGTTCCAGTACATCAATCGGTCGATGAGTAAACGAGAGGAAAGGGGTCATCAGCATGCTGCCAGCTCCCATGGACTGGTGCAACGCACTTGCACAACACCAAAAGTTCGTCTTATACAAATGCGCGATGTACAAATTGAAGAAGCCATACGGTGGTTCCAGTGGCTGTGTCAAGAGCTCGCCGCTGCGATGATTTCGATCGTTCAGTACCCATATTTCTTCGTGCATGTACTTCTAGGAAATAGCTTTCTATGTGCCAGTCGTACTGGCTTACGTTTGCGGCATCAGATTGCGTTTGCTGACCCATCCCCAATTCCACCTGAATGTGTGGATGCCCAAATTTACGCGCACGTTTGCTCACTGTCACATTGCTTGCACAATGTACAGTGCACCTCCTTCTCGATCATCTCCAGCATCGGCTTTCCCCCTTGCGGAGGTCTTAGATCTACTCGAACATGTGGAACAATACGTGCTTGATATTGAACGTGAGCTCGTTTTTTTTCTACTTCTGAAATATTTTCAGTTCACCTGCTCATGGAGAAAGCCTAGGACATTGGCCCATAGCCCAGACTGCACAATTGCACATCAAACTGGCATAACTCTGTCTACACGTAACTTGTAACTCTGTTTGCATGGAACTGTGCAATCTTGAGAGCGAAGCTCGCTCTCCAGCGCTAGATCTAACTCTATAGATCTGCAGAGTGAATCTATTCATTCTAGGGTTGTCTGATAGCAAACTACACGCTCGGACAGGTTCAAGGGCACTAGAATGATCGAGGAGCGGTCCTACCTGCTGTTAGCGTTCCAGTACGTGGAGCACAACCTGTCCGAATTCATGAGGGAGTTTCACGAGAGGCCGGAATTCGACCCGCAGATCCCCAAGGTAGTGGAAAACTACGGAAAGCTCTGACGGGGTAGGATGAAATGTCAGCTGATCGGTTGAGAAGTCGATGCAACGACTTGCCGGTGGGCGAAGCGCGTCCTTGCCTTGACAAGGCGCGCTGCCGCGCAACTGCGAACCGTGTGGAAATTCGTGACAAAACCCTGTACGTACCCATTTCACCGTGCATGCACCAGCAGAAAAAGGATCAAATAACACTTTTTGCTAGCGCATATGTATGCATTTCATCAGTGTTCTGCACGCTAAAGACACGAAAATATCCCAAACCCGTAAACTTTGTACGCGTTTGAACACGTGTTATTTGGCCCTTTTCCTAGTGATGCAAGCGGGGCAAATTGCGCCCTGTTGTATTTGCTATTGGGTGCAGATCATCCCCAAAATGAATGGTTTTGTTGCCGCTCGTGTGGCGTAAGGCTGGAGGAGCGGCTGTGAATTGTTGGACCAGAATTTCGAATATAATTTGGCATGTACCTCCCTTTCATTCTCGGGAATGGGCCGACACAGGCGGATGGGAAGAGAATTCTCATACCCGTCGTGTAAAGCCTCAGTGATTGAATCTGTCCATATTTGGCATACCGCCGCCGGGTTAACCCCTTCATAACGTTATGAAGCCTCCTTCCAGCGAACAGCGCTGTCCTTGAGGCAAGTGGGCCTCACTACAGGGTAGGAAAGGGGGGTGGTCACGGCGGTTGTGTCAGTTGCGTGGCTCTTCTTGGTCGCTGGTGACTGAGATTACGGAATGGTTGCAGCGACAAATACAAGATGTCGCAGTTGCCACAAAATGATTTGCAGCGTGTTTCCATTTTGCATTATTTCTGTTCGCTGTCAGTTGTGTGAAGTTGACAAGAAGTCATGCATTTTTTAAGTGTACACGAAATTAAGCAGAGAGGATTGTTTCCAAGATCAGCCGCCTCCGAGTCTTGAATCCAGTTTTCTGAACACAGGAAGGATGCGGGACTCTTCCAAGACGTGATCTTAAATCTGTGCTCAGTTGTGCAGCTGTTAGTATGAAACGCGCTGGCACCAATATGCTGACATTCTTGTGACGATTTCCTTATTCTTCCTTGTAGCTAAAGAAAATTCGTCAGCAACAATGTTCTCGGGAACAATGGAAAATTCAATGTAGGCGCCATATTCAGAAGACTGGAGCTTCCTTTCAGTGGGCTTATCGCCCGGGTGTTGATTTGAACTATCTCGTTGAATACCGCAGCATCCCCAGCAGATTTTCTTGATATGCTGCATGCCTGGAACACCATCCTGAAGTTGCCCTATTGTCATTACTGCAACTGCTGTAGTGTGTCCTTGCTTGACCACTTGTGTTAGGAAGGAATGGGCCACATCCTGAACTCCATTTTTAGCAGCTGTCAGAGGCTGGCGTTGTTGTTGTCATTATTTCACATCTGAAATATTACGCAGCTACTTTGAGCCTGACAGGAAGCTTTGACATGCAGATACTGCTGTTCCAGATATTGAAGGGCGTGCATCACCTTCACAAGAACATGTAAGTTGCATGGTGAACAAAGCTTAGCATAAAAGCTTTGGGAAGATATACCCGCATCTGCAGCAGCGCTAATGGTGGTGGCACCATCAAAAATGCCTTAAATGCCTCACAATGATCCCCACAGTGCTTCCATACCCGTAACGCATGAGCTAACGTCGTGCTGGTGATGAATTTACCTGAAAGGGCGCCTGCGTACTTTCTTCTCAGCAGAAATCCTAATTATGCTCATTGTCTGCAAGGATAATGCACAGGGACTTGAAACCTCAAAATGTGGTGATCGACAAGGAGCGCACGCAAATTTGCCTGCTCGATTTCGGCCTCGCTCGCGGGTTCAGCCTCCCGGCCCAGCGCTATTCACCAGAGGTAAGCCGCAATGCCGCGAAGCGTCTCAATTTTGCCACAGGCGTCGGACACCATTCATTTCTGGACACGAAGCTCATAAAAGTTGTGGGAGTCAATTTCAGTTGCGATTTTCTAGAGGTCTTAGGGTCTTAGTGCTCTCATACTCTTGGCGACCTTCATGAACCCCCTGACCTTCACATCCGGAAGTGATACTTCCTCTGTCCCATGTTAATTGTCGTCTATTTGAAAGGGAAGAATTGGGTGAGAAAGCAACATTGCAATTGAAAAGGAGGTCTCGATCGGAAATATTGGGTCACAAAATCTTATCATTTTTCGAGAAGAGAAAATGAGATCCGACCCTGGGGAAAGGTAGAATTTGATCATTTCTGAGCGAATACTCCGGCTTAACTATGTAAGAGGCATTTGATACTAAATATTCCAAAATTTGGAACGAGAATTTAATCCGCAATTCTTAACGGACTTGATTTTGGGGTCGAATACTCCAAATACATGAGCATATATATAGGCTAAAATTCATTATGTAATAATGTTCTTACTTCGAGCCGCCGTTTTCGGAGGATCGTTGGAAAATGGGTGGCTTTGTTGGGGGAGGGCGCTTGCTACAGAGTGATACCAAATCCGCAATTCTCAACAGATTGTCTTGAAATTTTCATCACATAATTCAAACTCATAAGCACAACTGTGGAAAAAATTTCATTAAATAATGAGTTCTTTGAGATGGAAAAGTAATGCGTATATTTTACAAGAACGCAATGCTGCCTCCTGCATTGGTTGCATGGAGTGCTTGCTTTTGCACATCCAGTGTGCTTACACACGAGATGGAATGTGTCGGAGACATGGCTGAAAACTTACTTTTGCATCAATGTTCTTCGATGGATGGTGGAGACATCAAGTGATCCCAAAACAGAAACTTGGCAGCAGGCGTCGTTTTGTAGATACAAACCAATGTCCACGGGTCCCCGCTTCGGTAGCAGTAGTTCACACGCGCAATCATGGCATTGATTTAATTCGATAATCGATTTGAATCAAGGCAATCACGAATTTTTACGCGAGGACGCTTTGACAGGTAGTGACCTCAGTCTACCGGGCCCCGGAATTGCTGCTTGGCGTACGGCAGTACACAGCAGCCGTTGACATTTGGTCAGTGGGGTGCATCTTCGCGGAAATGATCAACGGACAAGTCCTTTTCCTACCGGAAAATCAGGTGCGTTGGTGAATACTCTGTATTCCTTTTGCAACCAATCCGTGTTGCACCCAGAGGGGTAGTATGGTCGTTTGCGACTTCAGTGATAATGATAAATTCGCAATTGCATCCATCGAATTGGGAGCCAATCATGATGGAGTTTCTACAGTCATTGCACTCAAGTTAATGAACTCCCTCTGGTCAGAGCGACTGAGTGATTGTTTGTGACTCATGAGTCACCCATCGCAGTCAGTGTGCAACGCTGAATTTCAGGTCAGCTGCACTCTGTCGCCTAGTGCAGCCCTGCCAGTGTAAAACCAATCGATCCAACATGTCCAAAGACGACAAAGCACAGTCCATGAGCCCGAAAACGTCGATGCCGGGCACAATTGCGCGCGCAGCGCGCCCAGAATGCCGCCTCCGCACACGGCCTCGTGTCGGCGCAACGCAGGAACCGCAAGAATGGTCAATCTTCAGAACAATGGGGATCCCTCAGAACTTGGCGCAGCTGCTCAACTTCGACGGCCCCTTGGCGCCCATCTTCCAACCGCGCCCGGCGGTGCCCCTCGCCGACATTGTGCCGCGGCTGAGGGCTGAGCCGCACGGGCTGGACTTGCTGTCAAGGATGTTGAAGTACGCCCCGGCCGAAAGGATCATCGCCAGCGACGCCCTCAGGCACCCCTACTTCCAAGACCTGCCTGCCGAAATGCTCGTGGGGCTGCCCTGACAGCGGAGCTTCGCAGGACTGCGCGAACAGAAGGCGTGACAGATTGCGGGAAAATGTGGAATATCCTGCAGGTTTCGGCGCGATGGAGGAAGGGTGGAATGAAAACGAGTGTCCCAGCAGGGTTAAGGGAGGAAGAGGGGAGCTGGCACCTAAAAAAGAACCAGGAGAGCGCAAGTAAACACCCACATCCCAAAATGACAGGAAAGCGAAGTGAATAACCTTGGAGCGAACGGAACGTAATTAAATTCCACAACAAGGTGGCTTACAGGATGTGGGATGTTTTGGGCTTAGCTAAACAGAATGAAAATGCGTGTGTAGGAAATTGGAACGATAATGGTTCCCACGTGGAGTCTAGGTGCCGGCACTCTGTCGTCAAGTGCTGGACGACGATAGCTGAGTTTCCGCCGCCACTTCAATGTCGATAAAGTGATATTTAAGGCCACGGAGAAGCGAGATGCATGTTTGTGCTGATAGTAGTCACAGAGGACAGATTTGGGTTTGCTGCAGCGAGGCGGATCTTCCATGCGATGGCAAAACGTTATTCAAGGCACTAGTAGACATGTTAGGTGGTAGAGCTGCAACATTTTGGTATTTTGGTATTTTGGTAGTTCCATATCCACTCTTCATTGGAGGGGTAAATGAAGAAATTGTCTTTCCTCTCAGATCTCGGCATTGGGAGGTAGGTTTGTGCGATAATACATCACAGAACAAACGTCTAGTGGGAGCAAGTAGGTTAGGCGCTACTTTGTGGCCTGTAATTGGCGGCAGCGTGCTTCTGATGCTGCTATCCTTGAATCCATTTGAACAATTTTTCAGCCTGGCCGTGCCGAGTGATTTGTGGGCATTTTGCTGTCCGGATCTTCGCAGCACTGAATCGTTTTGTGAGATTGCTGTCACATTTATTCAATTAGATAAATGTAAGCAATGGCGAACACCCCGCAGTGGCGACGAGAAGTCTGTGACAGAATAGCGAATCAATGGATTGCAATGCATTAATGGTGACTCTACTAATGACTTCAATTGTAAATGGGACCGGTTCAGTTGCTCTTAATCTTGCAGCCCCACCCCCCACCCCACCCCACCCCACCCCACCCCACCCCACCCCACCCCACCCCACCCCACCCCACGCACGCAAAGTAGGAATTCGATTTGTCCATTTGCGCAAGTTTTACATTGCTTGCCTCTGTTGATGCTGTGAGGCCTTGTCTCAGTTATGGAATGGCATGAATAGGGTAGAGTAGGTCACGCCGTGTCAAATTGGAACTCAATACTCGAGTTTTTTCGCAACAGTTCTACGCAATACTGTTCTTTATTCTTATCCATGAATGTGCGTAAATATATTAGCACAGACTATCAAGCACCATCGCAGATCACTGAAGCTCAAGTGCATGAAAGCATTGCTTAGATTGCATTTGTCGACGCATGGGGTGCCGAGCACGAGTGCGGTGAAGCGCTAGGCCACATTCCAACTGTGGCGGCCGACGCGATAAGAACTGATGCGCTGTCCTACTACATGTAGCGGTTTGTAGTAGGCATGTAGTAGTCATGCAGCAGACTGATGTACGCCTGCCAGCTTTTTGCCCTCACAAAGTTTGCTGATTCAGCAATCCTAGGTGGCGATATAAGCGGGTGTTACGACGTGCAACAGCCATCACAGGCGGTGATTGCTCATGATGGCGCTCACTTCTAGCACATTGATTCATTACACCAGGATGCATGAACCTCGACCTGGGCTCAAAACCCGCCAAGAAGATGCGATGCAGCGATGCCTCCTGTACCCCTGCCGTCGCCTAAGCCCAAAATGGCCCGCATGCCAATAAGCGGGGGCATTGCAAGGCTGTACCCTGCCGAAATGGCTCAAACTCAAGCCGAAGCGGCCGACCGGCTGGCAAAATAGAGCCTTGAGCAACCCCAAACCTGCTGAAACGGTGCTCCAGCAAACAGACCGGGTGAGCCGGCTGGACTGGGTTTAGGGTCACCTACCCTACCTTTTGGCGTTTCAAAATTTTGGATCGAGCTTTCAGCCATGTTGGCTGCCCCGTGCCGATCTGGGAAGTTCCCAGTGGGAGCCCCAATGGCGCCATTTGGGGTGACCAAGGTCCGCCATTTTGTTTTGCGTTTTTGAATCCTACCAGAACCGCGTCGGCAGGGTTTGGGGAGCCCAACCTCTGGCGATCTAGCCAGGCTGTCATTACCGCTGAACGGTCTTGAACGGCCCCGCAGGTCGAGGTGGAGATGGCCCGGCTGGGTGGTGGCCGGGAGGTGGGAGATCGGGGTGGGCGCCCTTGGAGGTGCACGGCTGGAGTGATGGTGGTGATGGCCGAGGGGGGCGGGGGCACGCGCCCATTGTCCCCAGCTAGGACACAAATTTGGAGACAACGTGGGAGTCATGGCGTTGGTTCCTGGCCACTGCACCGCGCAAGCATGGACGATGCATCGGCGCTGGCGCCAAGTGCTTTTGACCTGTTTGAATGTGTGCTTTTGTTGGCGTTTTGCTGCGGTTTGGGCGCCCCTACCAACGTGTGTGGGCGTACAGTGTCAACTGAGTGCCACATAGCCACAACACAGCCTCGTGCCAAACCTAAGCCCCACTCACATGCAGGTTTCAGCCTGCGAACTTGGAGGCCCTGCCTTGACAGGTTACTATTTTTTTTTGCGACAGTGAAATTGTTCTTTCTTGTGACATGTTCTTTTTTGTGACAGTGGCGATAATTGATGCGCGAGATGTTGGCATCAGATTTGCCACACCACCCCAGCGCAGTCCACGGGGCCTTCTCTCACAATGGCGCTGGAGGGGCGTCTGTTCGGAGAAGGGATAAAAAGGCGAAACAGGAGCGTTTGAGGATGCCCAGGGTCCCCGCCCTGTGGAGGGGGGCTGCCGATGCCATTCGGCGATCACTTTGGCGCTGAGATTCAGCCGAAGTGGCTGAGGTTGGAGCCCCCGGTTTCCTCCCAAGCTCTGTTTTTGCCGTGCCAACCCCCTGAAATGCGCGCAATTGGCCACGCGGGGAGACGGCGCCGCCAACTGGGACCGGGGAGAGTTGCTCGTGACGCCGGACTGGGAGGCCAAGGCGCTGGTTGCCAGCGCCATTGCTGTCCAAGCATCGACCATCAAGGCGCCAACGCCCAGCGCCATTGACTGGTCACACGACCAGGTTTTGCTGCTGGGTGGGGGCACGCCCTGTGAGCCACGTCCTGTGGCGGGCTGCCACTGGCGTCATTTCAGCGCTTGGCACAACCTAGTGCCCATTTTACGCCGCCCGGCCCTTTGCGTTACCCAGACCCCAGACAAGTACAGCGTTGACTCGTGAAGTTCGAGGAAGCGGAGCAACGATCCCTTGGGCGGCGAACAACAGTGACGGCGCGGCTGGTAGCGGCCGGTGGCAAGTGGTGGGTGGCCGGGGGGCGGCGGGCGGGTAGGCGAGCTGGTTCGAAGGCCCCACCGCCTTCCCAAGCTGTGCATTAGTCATATTCACTGTCGCAAAAAAGAACAATCCACTGTCGCAAAAAAGAGTAGTTTGGCACTTTCGCAAAAAAGAACAGTCCACTGTCACAAAAAGAAATATTCACCGCCCTGACAGGGGATAGGGATCCACCATTGCCATGAAAGACGTTTCCGCGTAGGGCTGGGTGCGCTGGGCAGCCGATTCATATAGGGCGCCTGGCTTCCGGAGTCACTCTTTAGTCATGGCCACTGTCGCAAAGAAGAACAACAACGGCACCGTCGCAAAAACGAACAATCCACTGTCGCAAAACAGAGTAATTTGGCACTGTCGCAAAAAGGAACAGTCCACTGTCGCAAAAAGAAATATTCACCACCCCCACAGGGGTCAGATGACACGTAGCGATTTAAAGTTAAGCGGTCATGTGTTAAGATACACTCAAACTCGCCATAGCACAGTCACTTCCATTCCAATGTGGCCGGCCATGAACCGGCCAGCTGCTCCGTCCAGCACGGGGTGAGACCTTAAGTACGGATTCCCAACACTGCATTTAAAGTATTCGACACTTTATCCGAGCGTATGACACTCGGATCCTGTGGTATCCTTGCGGGCACCGGGCCGGCGTCGTTTGTGGCCCTTTGGACGCCTCTTTTTTCCGCTGGCGACACTGCGCCCGAAAAGGATGGCTCAATTTCCCCAAAAGCGAATTTTCGGACCCCCCCCAAGCCCACTGTTCTGCGGCGTCGGTCGAGCGTGCTGCGTCCTCGCCTGGCCCAAAGATACCTTTCGCACCTCACCACGGGCGCAGCCCCGCCCGGGCTTCGCGTTGCTCCCCGCGCTCTCGCGCAGGGCGCAAGACACTCACTCGCAGGGCGGAACCCGCAGGAGGCGAGTCGCAACTGAGCGCCGCGCCGTGGCGCACGACCTGGCGATCGACTCTCTCAACAGACGACCCTGAAACTTGGACGCCGGCGCCCATGGTCTCTAACCACCCCCTCCCGTGAGGAACGCGCGGGGAGGCGTCCCGGGGGGTGGTCGCGGGGCCATGGACGGCCTGGAGACGCAGCTCTCCGTGCTGTACTGCGCGACCTTCACTGTCATATGCTGCATAATGCTGAGGATGGAGGAAGGCGGCCTGGCGCTGCTGGCCGTGCTGGCGTACGGGGCCATATTCGGAGCACCCATGGCGAGCTTCGTGAAGCGCGACATCAGCCAGGTTGGGCCGCAGATCTGTTTTTTCTCCCCCCTCCCAGTGCTATTGCCGGCCAGGGCTGAAGGTTTGGTCCCGGAGCGTTCGGGGTTGTGCCCTGTGGGCTGAAGTTCCGCGCGGGGATTTTGCGCTGTGGGTGTCCAGGGGCTGGGGGTTGAACGCCGCGCAGTTCCTGGGTGCGCAGGAGGGAGGCGGGCACGTGGCCTGGGGCGTCATGCAGGCCTCCGTGGCGGTGGCGCTGGTGGCAGTGATGGCCCTCAGGGTATGGAACGACCGCCGGGCGCGGGCCGCGCCCACCAGGTGAGCTTGCGCGCGAGCAGCGGCGCTCGCGAGCGCCGGGTGCCCATCCCCGGCGCTGGCGGGCATCGGCCAACCCGCGGCTTTTTCATCCCGCGGTTCGTTGACCCGCTTCCCGCAACCCGTCCCCTTTTCCTTGCACCTCTGTTGCAGTTTTCCTTGCCGCCGGGAGGATCGGGGCGCCGTTTCCCGCCTGTGGAGCCTGAGCCCGTCGGCGTGCTGTTCGGGACTGCAGGGCGGGCCAGGAAGCGCTCCCTGTGAGGGGAAACGAGGCGGCGAGCCAGGGCAAGAGGCTGCTGAGCCAGGAGTGCGGACCCGAGAGTGTGCCCGCGCCTGCCGAGGACTGGTCGCATATGCCCGTGGCGCTGATGGGCCAGGTTCTGCGGGGGCTCGCCCCGCCGGATTGGAGGTGGGGCGACCGGCTGAACACGGCCATGGCCGCGTAGCTCGCCCTTCTTTTTTGTCCTTTCTGTGGGCCGTCGCCCTCACAATTCGATGTCTGGGCCTTGTGACCGGGCGGGTTCGGCTCGGTTGATTCAGGACACCTCGCAGCTGCCGATGCCAGTTTAATGCCGCCTTTCAACATTTTGTATGGCTTCTGGCCGTGCTCTTTGCAGTGGAAGAGAGAGGGTAAGGAAAAACGATGGGGTGGGGGGGTGCCACTGGGGACCTTGGGAGGTTACCTCTGACCAACGAAATTTCAAGCTGACCAAGATATATCATGCAGGATGGGCATGGTGTCATTTTCTTCTGCTTTCAAGCAAATGCACTGTCCCTTGTTCTTTAGCATCGTTTGCAGTCGACCTTTGATTCTGACACACTTCATGTACCCACCACAAACTACGGTTTGCTGTTCTAACAGTTGAAACTGCTGCAGACTATTTGGTTTGTAACACTTCGGCTTGGTGGATGCCTAGGTCCATAAGGCTTGTTTGTGGGGAGTGGCTCGCATCATCGGGAAACAACCTCTCATGCCTGCAGCCGTCAAGATTCATACCCTCCAGAATCGTGGAGAACTTCCCATTGTTGCAGGAATTGGACCTGCACAAGTGCACAGATGTGAGATAATGTGTTTCTGTGTCCATACAAATTCATGTTTCGCATTGTTCTAAAGTGTCAAATCAAATTTTGGAGTCCAGGTTTTGCCCCCCTGCTTACAACAGGGTTGTGGCCATTCTGCCAATGCTGCAAGAAGGTGCAGTGGGATATAATCAATCATGCATCACATGAAAACGAGAAGACTATTTCCAAGAAGAGCAGTTTTGCACCCGAACGGAACTGGTTGTTGGTTGCATTTGGCAGGCATGACATTCACCACCCTGTAGCCAGCCAGACAATATTGGGCCACTGTCACTTGGTGCATGTGTGCATTCCTGTCCCTGTTAATCAAGCCTTCATACATATTGGATATGCAGTTCTGTGCTCTACCTGTGTGGTGTAGCAATCATTTTCGAGGGCTGGGAGCAATTGCGGCCAAGTGTGGTCGACCGGAATCAAGGGAAAGCTGAGAAGAGTGACTCCCTGGTGCTCCCCATGCATTTGTTGTTGTTCAGAATGTGTGGAGTATCAAACACTATAGAGCATTGTGTCTCTGACTGCTGTAAAATATTCACCAAATATTCCATGACCTTCGGACCTTGATACCTACTGTGTGAATTCGGCTGGTTTAGTCCACTAGAGTTGCACAAAAGTTTGTGATGGCAGGCAGCTGGTGTTTGTGTGCTGCAGGAGGTGGACATGGAAGGCCTCAAGTGCCTGCAGCCACTGAAGCAACTCGAGGTGCTGGACATGGGGAAGGACCCCAAATTAGTGGCATCGGCCATCGATGACACTTGCATCGAGGCACTCCTGGAGCTGAAGAAGCTGCACACGCTGAACCTCTCCCAGTGTGTTCATGTCACCAATGCAGGTGGGCGCGATTTGCCTTTGTTGTACCTCTGTTGTTGGGTGTTGGCCCTTCCGTCTTTGCGGTAATGGTGACAATGGTGGGGTGGGATAATGTTGGGGAAGAGCTTTTTTTTCTGTGTTTTCGTCGCTTTAGGCCATGAACTGTGAAGATTTCATGTGCCCCTGGACGTGTGGGCATGGCTGATGCATCTGGTGTGGGTGGGCCCTGAGCTATGACGAAACTACCCTCTGTTGTGAGCCACCTTTGTAGTGAACCAGCCCCATGGGATGGGTAACGAACAAAGATCGTCAGCAGGTGGCAGCTGGATGACGTCTGAGTGAACAGTGTGGATAGGGTCGCCTGGTCTCGCAAGGCGATAGGCGCTACGCTTAAAACCTGCGCCACAGAAGTCAGGGTCCTTCGCTTGCTGCTCTCCTCCCATCAACTGTCTCAACCCGTGGGTTGGTAAACAACGGTGCGTGCAACATTGTTTCCATGGCCTTGACCCTGAATTCGCAACCGCTGCAGCCAGAGGCGGCCAACGCAGCTGCTTCCTGGCCGCATTCAATGATCTGCACTAGAAGGCATGACGATCTTTCCTTTCTTCCTCGTCTCTTTTTTTTGCCGCCTCTGTCAACAGCGAAACTTTGCTCGTTGCAAGACCGCCAACTTCTGCCCACCCTGCCTTTGACGTTCCCGATGTCAGCCCATTTAAGGGAAGCCCGCTGTGCCCTGCGCCGCAGGGCTGGAGCTGCTTGCCAGGGTGTCCACGCTGACGTCCCTGAGCATCAGCGGCTGCGTGGCGGTGACCGACACCGGCCTCGCGCAGCTCTCCCGCCTGGCCGGCCTGCGCCGCCTGGAGGTGCCCTGGTGCCTGAAGATCAGCGACGCCGGCATCCAGTCCCTGTCGCGCCTCGCTGGCCTGGAGGAGCTCAACCTCAGCGGCTGCCAGCTCATATCCGAAGAGGGCATTTGCGGTCTGTCGATCTTCACGGCACTCCGGTGTTTGAATCTTCTCTACACGGGCGTCAAGCGGGCCTCGGTCTCCGACCGCGCCCTGGCGGAGCTGGCTTGCCTCACGGACCTGCGCCAGCTGACCATTGGAGGCATGCAGCTGCGGGGCACGCGCGTGAGCGACGCGGGGCTCAAGATGATCGCGAGCAACCACAGGCGGCTCACCCGCCTGTCGCTGATGTGGCTCAACGTGGGCGACGAAGGCTTGCTGGCGCTCACGGACCTGCCCGAACTGCGCGCGCTGGTGCTGCGCGGCTGCACGCGGGTGACCGCGGAAGGCGCGCGCCACCTGGCGGTGCTACCGCAGCTGCAGGACGTCAACCTGCTCAGCAACCCCTGGCTGGACGTCACTGACGACCTGATAGGAAGCTTACGCTGCCTGACGGGCCTCCAGTCCCTGCTGCTGGGGGACATGCACGACGGGAACCTGGTCACGGACACCGGGATCGAGTCCCTGGCGGAGTTCAGGGACATGACGAGCCTGAGCCTGGCGTTCTCCCGCTGGGAGTTCGCGGGAGACGCCCTGACGCCCCTGCTGTGCCTCACCGCGCTGTCGTCCCTCGACCTGCAGGGCTGCAGCAGCGTGAACGACGCCACGCTGCGCGTCGTGGGCAAGCTGGCGTCGATCGACTGCCTGCAGCTCAGCCGGTGCGAGAAGGTCACCGGCAGGGGCGTGCGCCACCTGGCGCCCCTGTCCCGCCTGGAATCGCTCTCTCTCGGCCAGTGCCACAGGGTCGACGACGAGGGTCTGGAGGCGCTGCACGACCTGACCAGGATGTCGGCCCTGACCCTGTCCGGATGCCTGCAGCTCACCGACGGGGGCATCGCCAGCCTGTCCAGGCTCAGCCGGCTGCAGTTGCTGGACGTCTCGGGATGCGAGCGCCTGTGCGGGGTCGGTTTGGGCGCGCTTGGCGGCTCGCCGCTCAAGGTGCTCAACCTGGGCGGCTGCAGCGGCCTGACGGACGAGGGCCTAGCGGCGATGGCCGGCCGCCTGCAGTCGCGCGCTCTCACGCGGCTGGACATGTGCTACTGCGGGCTGGTGACGGACGCGGGCGTGGCGGCCGTGGGCGCGCTGACGTCCCTGACAGGTGACCGCCCATTCCTTGTATACCTGGTGCTCCAGCGGCAGGATAGTGCGTGCGTATTTCCCTCTGGGCTGTCGCCGATACGGTCAACGCATTCGGAGACGTTATCAACCCGGCGGTACTTAAATAACTCGCCTGTCAATCAATAGGTATCCCCTAAAAAACTTGGCATCTAAACTCCCTATCCTTGCACGTCTCCGTCACAGTCTCGGAATCCATGGTACGTATCCACAACAGTGCGATTTCCTTGTTGGGAAAAGCGCAACAATCGAAGCCCTTGCGTCCTCTTGCGTGGGGTAGTTGCTGGTATATTGCAGTTAAGCTGGAAGCCAAAGAACTAGCAAGTGCTATTGACACGATTTATGCATGGTAGTCAGATGTAGAGAATTGCCAAAGGTTTGCCAGTGATAGCTGCCTGACGGACTCTTCCACATCCTCTGTTCCTTGCTGTCCACACTGTGAAGATACAGCGAAAATACACTATAAATAAGTTTGTCTATCTGGGCTTGGGAATTATATCTGATACGCCAACTTAGCGTAAAACGTTCTTGGAAATGAACGGGGTTTGACTGTGACGGGCAGGTCTGGACCTTGCCTATTGCTGCAATGTGGGGGACCCCCCCATGAGAGTGCTGTGTCAGCTGCCCCGCCTCACCACTTTGAAGCTGAACGCCTGCAGCAACCTGACCGACGCTGGGGTGGCCATGCTGACTCGGCTGGAGCGCCTCCTCACTGTGCACCTGGATCGATGCCAGGGAATCACGGATAAGGGGCTTTGCAGCCTGAGCAAATGCAGCACATTAACGAGCTTACGGCTGGAAAGGTGTGTTTGCTTGATCTTTGCAGTGTGTTGCTCGGAGATGCCTGCCAGCTGTTATGATTTTTTTTGATTTGTTGTTGATGTTGTGCTCGGATCATACGGCTGCTGCTTCAAAGATCTTCAGCATGATATTTTCTGTGAGACCGGCGACCAGATGCTGGAAAGCCTCACAATTGAACTATTGTGCCATGAACATGACTCCCTGACTTTGAGATTTCACGACTTTTGAGAACAGCACTGAACGACTCGTATGAGTTTGGGTAACCGCAGCAGCAGCTTGTGTCAGTGAGTGACTTGCACTCAGCGGTCAACAGATCAATATCTGTGCTCCCATAAACTGACGATTTTGAATTGAAAAGCAGCAAATTGCCCGTCACATCGCCAGCTCCTGCTGCCTGCCTGAACCAACTCTTTTGTGAGATGCAGCAAATTGTGCTTCTGGAATTTGGCAAACTCTGCTGCTGTAGCTTGCAGATGCTGGCAATGGGAATACTATGTGATCATGTTGCTGAAGCAAGCCCATGCATTGTCAAAATGTTGATTCAGAAAGTACTTTCCCCTTTGCTCAATCCTTCAAGTGACAAAAGCTCACCTTGAGCTCAGAAGGGAATACAAGCACAGTTGCAGCTGGTTGAGACTATTGGGGAGTTGGAAATTTGTAGAGGCTGGGTGGACACGGGTGGGACATGGCAGGTGTGTGTTACTGAAGCTGCAAGATTACCCAAGGGCGCAGATGGGGGCAATGCAGATGCAGTAAACGAAAACTGCATGGGATGGGGTTTGAGGTTAGGGTTAGAAGACAGAGTGCAACCAGAGTAGTAGGGGTCTAGAAGTAAGGTGCACAGGTGCTGTCTGTCCAAACTCTTTGGAAGGGGATGGGGCACAGGCAGGGCAAGCCAGCTGCTGTTGAGCACTGCAGCTGGCCAGAGGAGGGGTGGGGATCCAGCTATCAGGATTGAGCACAGTCTGGACATGGCTGGCATTTACAGATCCCAAACGTGCGAATGAGAACAAGAGCACTGGTGTGGGGGCAACAGATTTGTAGAATGTAATGGCCATGCGCATCAGGCACAATGTGAGCAGATTGGTGGGTGCACCCTGACCGAATCTGCATATCGGTAGGGGATTGGGAGGCAATTCATGGAACAAGTGGGGATGCATTCGGGGTTGTTGGGTACTGACTAATTTTGACATTGGTAGACCAACATGTAGATAGGTGAGGGGGGGGGTCAGAAGTTTTTGGATGAGTACGCCACTTGTTCATATTGGTATTGGAGGTGGAATGGGCATCATGTTTGGGCAGTGGCTGGGCACTGCTGCCCCTGGACATTGGCTGTGTACAGATGGGGAGGGCACCATTGGAAATTCCTTGTGAGTGAATGAGTGGGGGTTGGCTGCAGAGACTGGGGCACTGGGCCGGGACTGAACTTGGGTGAGCGAGTTGAGAGTGAGCATTCGTTCATTCATTGTACTGCTGGGACGACAAGCAGAACTGGTGAAAAGTTTTTGCCACAAAGTGCCCTTTTCACCAGCGAAGTTGGCACGCAAAACTGTGTAAAGATCACGTAATCTAATCTGGTAGTGAAAAGCCGGAGAATTTCGTTTCAACTTAGATCGTGCTTCAAGAGTATTATGAATACATGTAAAGTTATCTTGATATTCATTGACCCACTTCTGCAATCTTGCACCTATTCAACACAGAGCAACAGCGTGAAGCAGACAGTTGTTTGGCCGGTGCTTTTGCTTTTGCACATTGCCACCCGTTGCAGCTCCATGTTGGGGGGCTTTCTTGTTTCTTACCACCTTATTGCATGCGTGGCGCAGGTGCACTGGGATCACGGATGAGGGGGTCCGATTTTTGTCAAGCCTTACTCGCCTGTGCATTTTGCAGCTGGACATGTGCCCCAAGGTCACAGAGGAGGGCCTCGCTTCACTTAGCCAGTTGGTAGGGCTCAGCTGCTAAAAGCACCAGCGTCGCGTTGGTGCATTAGAAATGTGCTTTTGTAGGGGAGTACACGTTTGAGGAGACAAGAGAGAGTAGAAATGCCAAAGAAAAGGATCATAGGGTGGCATGAGCTGACCACGATAATTGGCAGACAAAAGGATAGAAAATGGTAGGATAGGCAAGGAAATGAAATGTCGAATGGAGTCATTCCTACTTGCATAGAATCACTGATGGAATGACGCCTGGAACGTATGATACAGACACGGCTTTTGCGATAGGATGTAGGCGCTAGAACGGGAAAAGAGACGGGGATGGGGGCGAAGGAGCTGGAGGGGGGTGGAGTGGGTGAAGATGTAGGCTATTGTAAAGCCAGTCCTGCACAGAAGCCATGGTAAATCGCCTGAAGCAGAAAAAATTCGCTCCTTTCTATGTTGCCAACATTGTCGTGGATGGTACAGTGATGGCTTCGACTTTTATTATCATAAACTGCGCGAGTGCGGGAGTTGCCGCAAGCGGTCTGCTCTCAAGCTTTAGCACCTTGGCCGACATGCTGCCTTGCACAACATTGAGCTTTAGCCTGCCTTTTGCTCCTGCTGTTGAAGGGCTGTGACACCGACTGGCTGCACACTGGGGTTTTGAAGTTTTTTTTTTTTTTTAAACGGAAGTTTGTTGCGGAACAAAGCAGTGTCTAAACGCATCCAAAGCCTAGGGATTTGAAGGATGCAAAGAACTGCGTTGAACAGAGCATTTGGCAAGCACGGACGTGTGCATAAGATCACATATTTTCTCATGTCATACATTAACAGAAACATCCACAAAGCTGATGGCGTTGCATCCTGATGCTTGGTTTCCCACACCGCTCAAATTAGAAAAGCATGGTGGTGGCAACCGCTCACATTAGTTTCTGGCAAGAACAAAAATCTGAAGTTTGACGTACGTTATGAAGAAGGTGACAGGACCTTGAGATTGGGGTTCTTCTAAGTCGTTGCATACTAAAATCGTGCCCTTATTATGTTTGTCTTGTGTTGGAGTTGCCAATCATCCAAAGCCGTTGATTTTTGATGCCCCCGCTGATGCAGATATATTCTCTTGTGGTTGCTTCGTTTATTGACATACATCCTCTGCCCCAACTAAAGTGACCCATTTGTTTTCAGATTTGTGTTTTCACCACAAGATAACTTCTGTTTTCCCCAAAAATTTACTCACAGCAAGGCGCATAAGTATATAGTATGCTCTCAAAGCTTCAGATGAATCCGCTAAGTATAACATAATTGGCCCTAGTTTTTATCCATGTCACCCCGGAAAACCCCAATAATCCACATTATCAGATTATGAATGGTCAAGACAATTAATATTGGAACATGAAGTGTATGGGTACAATGACAATAATCACTAAGGCACCGGTGTGGGTGCCATGACACGAGCTATTTCCGCACCGGTGGCCCGCGAGCTGACCACCGTACTTATGTGGTGAGTGCGGTGTAGTAATGTTCCTTTCTCGCGCAAGCAAACTGGTCCCGCGACCCGACCCCGCGACCTTGGCCGGCGGTGCCCGCGAGCTCGCCTGTCCCCAAGCATACCGCCACGAGCGCCGTGCCGAGCATGCGCAGTCTAACCATTCGGACCCGACGGAGGCGGAGCATCTAGCGGCTAACCACCACGCGCATCAGAGCCCCCCTCGCGACGGCGAGGGCCCAAAAGGAGGCCGACACACATCCTCCAAGAAACCGATCAGGCCACACGCATGCTCGATCAGGCCATTCGGAAGATGCTTTGCTGCTCCTTGGGCCTTGAGAATGACTGTGCCAACCTTCAGTCTGATCGGCATGGCTAGTTCTTCTTGAGCGGCTGCGCTTCGCCCTTTCAAAGGGGTCCCTTCACCATACTTAGAAGGCTGGTTTCGCAGAAGCTGTGGATTATCGGGGTTTGGGGAACTTGAGTGACGTGGATGAAAACTGATGCCAATTATGTTGTACTTAGCCGATTCATATGAATTGTTGATAGCGTACTCAATACTCATGTGCCTTGTTGTGAGTTAAATTTTCAGGGAAAGTAGAAGTCACCTTATGTTTAAAACACAGTGCTGAAAACAATTGGGTCAGTTTAATTTTGGACAAAGGAACTAATTGGACTCATGGGGATTGCAGCAACTCCCTTGGCATGACTGATCTCAGCAATGGGATTCAACACGAATTTGACACACAAAAGGCTCTCCTGACAGCCACAAACGCTCCACTCGGAAGCAAGAACCACATCCAAAGTACATCTGATCCGAGAAAGTTACAATTGATAAACTTCATGAAGAATTGCTCGTCCCCCTCTGGACCCTCCACATGCAAGTCCGCGAGCATCCCACAGATGATGGGAGGCATCAACTTGTTTAATTTAGGGAAGGCGCTATGTCGATTTCATTATGTTTATCGTCAATTTGGCATTAAGCTCAGACCCCCACCCCGCCCCCACCCACCCACCCTCCTTAGCGTCCTTCCTTGTGTTGAAGCTAAGATGACTCAGCAACATTAGCTAATAGTGGAGCACAATTTCCAGCCGCTTTTTAGGAAAAAAAGCACTCAGAGCTATGCAAATTTGGGTGGGCTGAAAAATGGGATTTTGGGTGCCACTATGGGCAAGGCAGGCAGCCGTGATGACTGCAAATTGACACACTCTAAAATCTTCCTTGAAGACTGAACATTTCAGAGAGGTTTACGAACAAGTCGCAAGTGTTTTGCTACTGATCAGCAGCTTTTTGAGGCAACTTTCCCCCTTACGTCGATTCTTGCGCAATTACATAATCTCTTAGCGTCACAGGTCTGAGCCCCATTGGCGTCAAATTTGTGCTAGGCATAACAAAATCAATATAGTGTCTACCCTTAATTGGGAACGTAGCGCATTCCAGTTCCTCTGTTCTGAACACATGTTCGCGATGCATCTGAACTCGTTTTGGTAGATTTCTGCTCGCATTCAATCAAAATTGCTGTTGTTCACTTGTGCAACCACACAATGTTTGGTATGTGATTGAAACTATGATGGCTGGCATAGAGGCACCGAGGTTGGTGCGCCCCAGAAATAGTCGACATGGGCAGCCGCAAAGCATTGCTATCAAGCGAAGCAAGCTACCTTTCATCAAATTGTGCAGATTACATTCAGTTTTCAAAGTTGGAATTTGTTGACGGGTTAGATGTAGCAGAGAATGCCAAGCTTTTAAGCCCCGCGATGAGCAAAATCTTGCAACTATGTTTCGAACATATTGTTTGTGGTGCTTGGAGGAAGACGAAAGCAACTCAGTTAGTGGGTGCCTCCGATGTGGAGGTGGGCGGTGCTGTCTGCTTTTCATGAAGGCGATGCATGCCAACTTTGGAATTTCTGCTCTTGTCCGCTTTGGGAATCCATTTTTATGCAACCAGCAGCTCGCGATATTCTCAGAGCAACTGGAACCAACATAAAGGCCAATGGCACCCCACTCACATCAGCACCAAGGGAGGAACAGCGCTAAATACCAATTAAGATATGTGTTCTGATATTTGCACCAGGCTTGGCAGGAGGAGCACTCCACCTACCAGACTAATCACTTATGAGGCTGTCCCCATCGCAAACTTCAAACAGCAGCTGCGAAATTGTACTGCAAATGGCAGTGCATCTTTAGAACCTATACGCTGGGTTCGACGCCTTGCATACATGCGAATTGGTACTCCGATCTGCCAAGATAATGCCTCTGGTAAGCGCCCTTCTACTGCGAGCATCGATTTTGCATAACATTGATTCTATAGTCCAAACGAGCGGCCAGACGTGGAATCAGCGCCCAGTCGCCATCATCTCCGTCACCATCTCCGTCGGATCGCAAATGTGATAGGCGCAATTCTGTGAGTTCCTGAGAGTGATGTCTGTTGGAACACATTTTAAGCTGGTTTTAAGAGCCAGTAGGCATGCCTCGGCAACGTCATCAGGTGTGATCATCTCCTTGGGTATGGCGCCAGGCTGGTCCCTCCAAAACCCAAAACACCCTGTTAGCGTGCCACTGGAACAACATTTAGGCGATTGAGATTTGCTATAAACATGTTGGATTATAATACGTGCCCTCCAAGCGACAGCACATTACCCCCGGGCCGGTCTCCTGGACCCACCCTGTCATGGCCCCCATATGGCAAGACATGTATAGAACTCTTATAAAAAAGGTGTCCGTGACCATTGCACTTCAAATCGGAGGTCCCATACTTCACACGTGCCGATTCACATGGCATTTCTTTACTACACACAAAACCTAACTCCGCCCTGAGTCAGGCCCTTGTTCTCGTACATCACTGCCTCCACTTCCTCTACAACCTACAACCAGAACGAATCCGCTCTCTATTGCGCAGGTTTGGTATTTTTGGCATACGCACAGATGGTATTTATGTTTTTATGTGCAAAAATCATTAACATTCTACGAGCAAACATGGGTAAAAATACAATAATACAGGCGTAAATACCCACCTGTATACATAGAGCCTACTCTGCCTAGTTAATCCGCGACTGTCCTCTTTGCACGCCATGGTGTTCAAGGGTGTGTTCAGGCCATCCGCCAACCATTTTTTGGATGTGAAAGGTTTGCAAGCCACCAGCGCATACTGCAGCCTAGTCGTGAACGCCGGGGAGGCGCGCCAATGACGTCTTCTCGCTGGCTTCAGCGGCTATGGTGGGGCATCCTAGCACATTAGAGTGGATAGAGGACGAACTTTTGTTTTGCGACATCGCTGCTCTTGCGGAGGGCGAGGTGGACGCCGCGTTGCTGGTGTTCGAGGGGGCCAGATGACTGATTATTGTATGCGACTTCACTATGTAGCTCGCTACATAGTGGTTTTAACTATAATATATGATGTTTCATTGTTTGCAATTGAGTGCAGCTTAGCTGCAAAATTGGTTACACAATCGGCTACACGGTTGATTACCCAAAAAACATGAACGAACACGATTTTCAGGTACGCAATGCGATTTCCAGCTCTTGGCAACTATCTCCAACAACGGTGCACGACTGGGTACAC